CTGAACGCTCTGATGTGTGGTTTGCACTGCAGCTCAACCGCAAGCTCCGGCTTGGCGTGGGAAATCGGGCCATCCGCACTGAGAAGATCATCTGCCGGTGAGTGCTGGGCCTTCAGTCCCCTAACTGCCTTCCACCCCTCCCCAGACCCCACTGGACCTTACAAGATCCCCAGACCCTCCCCAGGACCCACTGAATCCCAAGAACCACTTCCAGTTCCCCCTACTAGAACTGCCATATATTGCAAATAAAAATAGAGGATATCCAGTTAAATTAGAATCTCAGATGAACAGTTACTACTTTTTTGGTGTAAAAGTGTCCCATGCAGTATTTAAGATGTACCTACACTAAAAATTATTTCTTGTTTATCTGAAATTTGATTTTTAATTTGGTGCCCTGCATTTTTTCTGGCAACCTCACTCCACATGCCCCAGTGAATACCCGGAATCTCGCTCTACCTACCCCCGAGCCCAGGCCCCAGGGCCCAGGAACCTCCCCAGTCCTCTCCTTGTACCTAGAGGAGCCCTCAGCCCCATTTCCGTTCATCAGGGACGTGGCTCGGGGCTATGAGAACGTGCCCATTCCCTGTGTCAACGGCGTCGATGGGGAGCCATGCCCTGAGGATTACAAGTACATTTCGGAGAATTGTGAGACATCCACCATGAACATTGACCGCAACATCACCCACCTACAGGTGAGGGACCTAGGACCTCCCAAAGGGACAGCAGAGCCACCAAGTACAGTGGGGCAAGTCATGGGCCAACAAGAGCACCTGAAAAGGTGGGGCTAGGAGGGAGCTCTGGGGGCTTGGTCCACCTGGAGAAGGGTCTTCTTAACTAGGACAAATGACGGTATCGTACAGGCTCGTGGTAGCCCTAGGGACAAACCTCCAGCAACATCTTGGTTCCCCTCACCATGAGACCATCACCACTCATGATCCTAAAACATGGACCCTAGCAAAAGGGCAGCAGTTGGGAGGCAGGGAGCACTGGGAGCTGAGGGGCCAGGGCCAATTCTGGGGGTCAAGCTCACCCTGCCTCCCGCCCAGCATTGCACGTGCGTGGATGACTGCTCCAGCTCCAACTGCCTGTGCGGCCAGCTCAGCATTCGCTGCTGGTATGACAAGGTACGTGCCCTTGCCCTGTCCACAGATGCTCATTCACTCCTTCAGAGGAGCTGGCCTCAAATGCAGATTCCCTTGGACCTTGTCCCTCACCTCCTACCCTGGGGGGAAGTAGCAGAGAGGGCAAGGCCAGACCTGGAGTTCCTGGGACACTGCCAGGACAGAGATGGGCCTGGCCCATACACATGCAAAGCAAGAGGGATGGTTGTGGGGCACTTGTCCTTTGACCTCAGAGTATATGTGGTGGCCCCCATCCTGGCCTTCCTGTCTCCCTTTCTCTGGGTTAAGGATAGAGGAGGATCCTTCCATGGGGTCTTCGGGATTCTGGGCACCTGAGGTGGGACTACACAGAAACCACTGTTCTCCCCTCCCTCCCCAAGGATGGGCGGCTGCTCCAAGAATTTAACAAGATTGAGCCCCCACTGATCTTCGAGTGTAACCAGGCCTGCTCCTGCTGGAGAAACTGCAAGAACCGGGTGGTACAGAGTGGCATCAAGTGAGGCCCTGCCCCTACAGCCTCCCACTGCCCACTGCACGCACACACACAGACAAATGCACGCAAGTGCAGACACACACACCCACACATGCATACACGTAGACATACAAGCACGCATTGTCTCCTGTCCACCCAACGTCACCCTCTCTCCCACCCCCAGGGTGCGACTGCAGCTCTACAGAACAGCCAAGATGGGCTGGGGGGTCCGCGCCCTGCAGACCATTCCCCAAGGAACCTTCATCTGCGAGTGAGTAGGGGAGGGGTGAAGGGATGAACCCACAGCCACTGCTGCCTCTTCCGCCCTCTCTGCCCTCCTCCCTGACGGGTCTTACTCTTCTCACTACCTCATCTCCAGCCAGTCTCTTCAGCCCCTCATCCCCACAGCCAAGCACCTTTCCTGCCCCGCTCAGCCCAGCCCACAGAGCTGCCCACATCCCCACCACCTCCACTTCCCAGCCTCACACATAGCCTCTCCCTGCCCTGCTGAGCTGGGGGAAGCACCAGTCTGGGAGACAAAACTGCATTTGAGCTGTACTCTGCTGCTGCTGTCCTTGGCCAAGTTACCTAACCTTTTTGAGCTTCATTTTCTGTCCACTCTCTGGGCCCTCGTTCCTCTCCATCAGTTCTTTCTCTGCCCAGCATCTGTAACCACTCTCTGTCCCCTGGCTCCTAGCCCGTGGCCTTTAAGCTTATCTGGGTCTCCTTTCAATTTTTAAAAAAACTTTTCGCCCCATTTGCTTATTTAGGGACCATCCATTTTCTTTTAGTCATGTCATCTCTTCTCGGACAAAGATTACAAGTACAGTCCTATCTTCCTCAGCCTCAGTTTCTCCACCATCCACTCGCTGCTCATCCTGCCAAAGTCTGCCTTTGCCTTCACCCCTCCGCTGCTGCTGCCTTCCAGCAGTCCCCAGCAGCTCCCCTGCTTCATGTACCTCAAGCCTTGTTCCCCTGGCATCTGCCACCCCCTTAGTTCTGGCTTCCATGACCCTGTCCTCAGCTCTGACCCATCCACTCTTCCTCTTCACCGGCTCCTCTTCCTGTGCTCTGCAAGTGTGGATGTCCTCTACCCTGGCTCTGTCCTGGAGTTCCTCACGGCCCCCGTGGCTCCATCCCTTCCTGCTGGCCTGCCCACTCCTGTCCTTGGGCCTGCCATCGCCGCCACCTGCTGGGTGACTCCTAGTCCACAAACCTCCCAGTGTCTCAACATCAACAGAGTTCCCCACCCAAGCCCACAGGCTGATCCTCAAACCCCAGAGGCCTGGCATCAGTGCCTCTACCTCCCCCACCATGTCCCAACTCATCCCCGGCCACCACACTTGCCGGTCCTGCCTGTGGCAGTTATCCAGTGACAACCAGTGACACTATGCTAGTGTCCCCATGTTCCTCCTGATCCCACCTCCAGAGGGGGCCACCTACCTCCTCCCTCCCAGATGACGTCCACTGTCTTCTGGACGTACCAGGCCTCAGGTCACCCAGCCAGGTCCCAGCAGTTTTGATCTGTGACATTCACGGACATCTGACTGGGGCATCTGACACAGTGGAAGAGGAGCCCATGGGGTTGTGAGGAGACACGGCCTGGAGCCGACCCCCTGTAACCCCAGCTCACCTTCAGCACCATCACTTCCTGCCCAGCAGGTATGTCGGGGAGCTGATCTCAGATGCTGAGGCCGATGTGAGAGAGGATGATTCTTACCTCTTCGACTTAGACAACAAGGTGGGCAGGAGTCCCCTCTGTCTCCTACTCCCAGTCAGCGGTAGAAACCTGGGGAGGCGGGGATGTTGGCGGGAAAACAAAGGGTGGTAGATATACAGTGTGCCACCCTCCCCTCAGGATGGAGAAGTATACTGCATTGATGCCCGGTACTATGGCAACATCAGCCGATTCATCAATCACTTGTGTGACCCCAACATCATCCCCGTCCGGGTCTTCATGCTACACCAAGACCTGCGATTTCCTCGCATTGCTTTCTTCAGTTCCCGAGACATCCGGACCGGGGAGGAGCTGGGGTGAGGCCACTGGGCTCAGCCAGGGGTGTGGAAAACAGCATGCCTGGGACCAGCAGCTGAAGAGAGCTCCTGATTTGCAGGCTTGAGTAGAGCAGAACTCAGACATCAGTGTACAGAAGTGTCCCTGGAGGGCATGTTAAATAGGCCTGAGCCTCACAGAGGATTTTGATTCAGTAGGTTTGGGATGGGACCCAAGACTCTGCATTCAAACAGGTTCCCAGGCAGTGCTGGTGCGGCAGGTCTATAGACTGTACAAGGATTTAGAGCCTGTCAGGAGAAGAGGGGTGTGAGTGCCAGAGTCCCTCCTGGGAGCAGGATCCACAGGTTCTGGACTGGGCTTGGGCAGTCAAGTCTGGGTCCCACAAGCCTCTTGTGCTCCTCTGACAGGTTTGACTATGGCGACCGCTTCTGGGACATCAAAAGCAAATATTTCACCTGCCAGTGTGGCTCTGAGAAGTGCAAGCATTCAGCTGAGGCCATCGCCCTAGAGCAGAGCCGCCTGGCCCGCCTGGACCCCCACCCCGAGCTGCTGCCTGAGCTCAGCTCTCTGCCCTCTGTCAATCCCTGAGAGTGGACCATACTCTCCCTCCCCACCCCTGGGTGGCCACCACCTCAGCAGCTGCCTCTGTTACTTGTTGCTCATGGCCACACCCACACCTATACCCAGGGGCACTGCCATCTTTCCCCGTAGCCCTTCACACATTCCCGGCCAGAGACCCCAGCCAGGCCCTGGGGATCTGACAGCCCCTCTTCCAGGGCTGGTTCCTCCCTGGGAGGGTGACTTGGGCTGGCTGCCCGCTCCCCTGTTCCCCATCCTCAGCAGAAGTTTGATGAACTGAAATGGGCCTCTGCCAGCTGCTTTCCTTTGTTCTCAATAAATGTTGGGTTTGGTAACAAACTGTGTGGGTGATTTTTTGGGGGTGGAGGAGATGTCCAGGGAGGATGCACACACAGTGGAGGGAATGTGGGTTGAAGGGGCAGAGTGAGATGGGAGGCTGGACTAGTAGAGACAGCAGCCCAAGAGAGGGGAGGGCAGTGGGGGGCCAATAAGGGCAGGGTCTAATCAAAGCCTAAAAGGCAAATAACAATCTTAGCTGGGGGATATGGACACGTTTGGTAGTTTGCAGAATTAGGAAGGGTTCTTGGAGCATTCCATGTCCTTCAGGCCATGGTCCGTGGGTCTCAGCCAGCAGCCCAGAACCCCTGTCCCTGGCTGGGACTTCCTGCCCTGAGCCTTCCCTCCCACATGCTGAGCAGGAACTAGAGTGTGTCGGGGGACCACAGGTGGAGGTGGGGCTGTGACGTGAGAGGGCGGGGCGGCGGCAGGTGAGTTGCCTGGTCTCCCAGGCTCCAGTCACTCCGGAGATTGAGCCATGAGGGGAAAGCAGGATGTGGCCGTGGAGAAGTCTTATGGTGAGGTTGGGGCGAGGCAAGGACCCTGCAGAGGGAGGGAGACCTGGCTGGGCCCCTGGGGGAGAGGACCTGGGGGGGGTTGATGGAAGAAGGCCGAGCCAGGGTCCTGGGAGGACTGAGTTCAGGGGCAGGGCACCATTGCTGAGGAGACTTTGGGGAGTGAAGCAGGGGTCTCCAAGAGGAGTTGGGCTGGATTCCCTGAGAGGAAGGAAGTTCAGACCTAGACTGGCCCTTCAGGGCTGGCAGAACCCTGGGAAGGAAGCAAAGCCTGAATGGAAGGAGGCAGGGTGAGGTCCTGAGCAGGGGACTGGGGGTCCAGGACTGGAAGTGTCCTGTACTATGGAGCCTGCAACCTGACAGCAGAAAAGGCTGGGGTCCCTGTGAGGAGCTTTCAGCCTGGACCCTGGGTCTCTGAGGGAGAACAGTGCTGGGGATCTGCCTACCAGGATCTCTGTGAGCAGTGGCAGAGGAAGTGAGTTGTACTGGGGGCCCCTGTGAGGAGTTGGGGCTCAGGGTCTTTATGGAGGGGGGATGGACCTGCCTGAGGGTCTCTGTTTAGAGGGGAGCCTGTTGGGGGTGCCTTGAGGCACAGAGGCAGGGGTCTTCTGGGATTTCTGTGAAGAGTAAGGCCTGAGGGGAAAGGGAACAAGAAGCCTGTCTCCGGAATCTACAAGGAATGAGGGCTGGGAGCCTGTCCCAGGACTCTGAGGATTAGAGGTGGGGAGGTATTAGGGGAAAGGGAGCGCGGACCAGACTTGAGGATCCCTGTGAGCAGTGAGGGCTAGAGGCCTCCCTGCACAGGTCCCTTGGGATTTGGTGGGCTCTGAGCCCCTGCTCTGGAGGGAAGCGAATCCAAAAGGAGGAGCCTTCCAGAGGGAAGGCTTGGGTCCCAAAGGGGACTGGGGAAGAAGTTGTAAGGACTTTCCAGGAGACTTCCTAGAACCGCTGGATCAATCATTGACCTCATGTCTGAGAGCCATGGAGGGACAGAGTCCAGAGCACCTGCATACCCCACCTCTTTCCACACTTTTGTCCAGCCCTCCACCCTCCCTCCTCAATGCCCACAAGAGATCCCGGGTGCCTGGCCCTACCTCCTCCCTGTGTGTACTCAGGGAGGACCAGGAACAGGACAGGGTCATGATCTCAGTCACCAAGCTCAGGTGTCACTCTGATTTGATTGCTTGCCCAGAGACTGGCAGTGGCCTGGAAACTGAGGTCCCTTCAGGTGGGGGTCTACAGGGAGCTCCTTCCCTCCCCAGGCCCTGCAGGAGTTGATACTTTTGGCTCCAGTTTCTTTCCCCATGGCCTTGAGCCAGATGTGGGGTCTGGAGCAGATGGGGGAGGGTCTATGACCTCCCTGAGGAGAGAGAGCGACTAGGATTGAAGGGTGAGAGCCACTGAGATGACTAGACACAGAGTCCCACGTAACAGCTGGGGAAGACTCAAGAGTGATGGGCCAAGGTGAGGGCAGAAGGCAAAGGCCATTTTCCTGGTTGTTGGCCTTGAGGTGTGAGCTGGAAATGACCTGTAAAAGTCCCCCTCCCCTCCCTCCAAGGCCACCTGAATGGATTTATGATGAGTAGTCACCTGCTGGCCAGGCCTCAATCCTACATTCCCTGCTTTCCAATTTCCCCTCCTGCCAGCCTTTCCTCTGTCCATCTCCTGCAAACCCATGAGGGCAGGGAAAGACTTGGGGGGACAGGAAATGGGGAGAGAGACTCCCCTCAGTGCTTCACTTTCCACACTGTTCCTTATGCCCCTCAGGGAAACCAGTCAAATATGACCCTTCCTTTCGAGGCCCCATCAAGAACAGGTGAGTTCTGGGAACTGCACTGGTGGGGGCAAGGATGTCTTGTTTTTGCTGTGCATTTGCTGAAATATTGGCAAGAAGTTTGTGAAAAAGAAAACTCCTGTCCCAGGGGAGCGGGGGCATTGTTGTTTGTGGAGGAAGCACAGCAACTTCCGGGATGCTAGTGATGTTCTGGCATGTGCCCTTTGGGAAAATTCATCCAGCTGAGCATTTACGAGTTATGCACTTTTCTGTCATACTTCAGAGGAAAGTTTACCCACCCAGAAAAAAAAATTCTTAAAAAAATAAAATCTACTGATGCCCACTCTCCCGCAGCCCCCAGCTCTCTTCTCCAAAGGCTTCCCTGTTCCTCTCTAGGGGCTGCACAGATGTCATATGCTGTGTCCTCTTCCTTCTCTTCATTCTGGGTTACATTGCGTTGGGGATCGTGGGTGAGTTTCCAGCTGTGCAGAGCTGGGGCAGTGGTTGGGGGACAATAACCCAGAGAGGGACCATACCCTTGGCTGCCCCCCTACAAAGTCCCTGCCCTTCCTCCCCAGTGATTCTTGCGTGTGTCTCTGTGTCCAGCATGGATTTATGGAGACCCCCGGCAAGTCCTCTACCCCAGGAACTCCACCGGGGCCTACTGTGGCTTAGGGGCAAACAAGTGAGTACGGAAGAGGGCCAAGAAGGTGGTGAGTATGGAGATGGGCAGGGGACCACCCAACACTCAGGCTCCAGACCTTTCCCTGTTGTCCTCCCACTCCGCCTACCACACCGCCTCCCTGGATCTCACCCCCCAGGCCACATTGACCGCGTCCATTGCTGAGGAGTTGCCTATGAGCACCCCTAAGCAAGGCAATGTAGAGTTATGGTTAAGTGCATGGGTTTTTGTTGTTTTATTTTTTAAGATTTTATTTATGTACTTTTTAGAGAGGGAGAAAGGGAGGGAAAAAGAGAAGCAAAGAATCATCAATGTGGGAGAGATACATTGACTGGTTACCTCTCACATGCCCCTAACCAGGGACCCGGCCCTGCAACCCAGACATGTGCCCTGACTGGAATCAAACCGGTGACTTTTCGGTTCGCAGGCCAGCGCTCAATCCCCCAAGCCATGCAAGCCAGGGCTAAGTGCATGTGTTTTAGACTTCAGAGACTGGTCTTTGAACCCCTAAGTGCGATTCTGTTTGTGTGGCCTCGGGCAAGGTACCCAACCTCTCTGAGCTTTGATATCTTCATCTGAATCGCAAGGATGATCCCAGACGTGAGGCCATCAGTTCTCACAGGCAGGAAATGGTCAATCAGCAATAAAACCTCTAGTACTTATATGGCGTTTACATGTTTAAGGCAGGTGGTGTACTTTACACTCACAAAATCACTTAAAGCCATGATAGAACTGAGGCAGTGAGCAATTAAATGACTTGTTCAAAGTCATAAAGCTGGGTGGTGATTTGTCTTCAGCGTTCTTGCTCTTAAAGATTTGGCAGCATGAATTTGCTCAGTCCTGTCTGAACCATCGGCGATACTGAATGACTCTGGAACTTTTTTAGTGTCTCTCGCTCTGCCAGCTGGACTGAGCTGTCTGAGGTCAGGAGCTGAGTGGAGCCTGTCAAGGCCACCTGGGCCCACTGCAGCCTGGAGGTGAAGCCTGGCTGTCCCTCCTGTCCCCTACACCTGACCAGGCACTGACAAATGCACTTCCTCCCCTCCTTGCAGAGATAAACCCTATCTCCTGTACTTCAACATCTTCAGCTGCATCCTGGCCACCAACATCATCGCGGTCACTGAGCAAGGCCTGCAGTGCTCTACACCCCAGGTCAGAGCCTGGGACCTGCCTCTGCCCAGATCTCCCCCCAGGTCCAGGTCCAAGCCCCTCAGTGCATTCTCTGCCCCCAGGTGTGTGTGTCTTCCTGTCCAGAGGCCCCATGGACTGTGAATAACAATGAGCTCTCCCAGACAGTCGGGGAGGTCTTCTACGCGGCAAACCGGAACGTTTGTCTGCCAGGGGTGCCTTGGAATATGGTAAGCACTGCCCCAATGTCATTGGGGTCATCAAGGAGGGGCCTCAATGTGAGAGGGAGTTGGGTAGATGGCTGCGATGATAGTGGGGGGGCACTCCCTCATCCTGCTCTGTGACTGTGTGTGTCTGTCCTCCCCTCGCACCCCAGCCAGTGCGCCAAAGCCTGGAACAGGAGCTGTGCCCCCGTTTTCTCCTCCCTTCTGCTCCAGGTGAGAAGCACACTCATTCCTCAGGCATCAGCTAGTTTTATACTTTTGTTATTCAAATGAGGAAACCAGACCCAGAGAGAATGAAGTTGCACAGCAGGACTGAGGCAGAGTTCATTGTGTACCTGCTCTGTGCCAAGCACTGGGGATAGACACAGGGAAGACGACAACTGCTCCTTGTGGGAGTACAAGCTAGGCGGAGAGGTCAGAGATGTTCGCAAAGGCAGTGCATGGGAACCTCACGAAGACATGCACAGAGAATGTACATTTAGGTGTATGCACAGGAGAAAGGCTGGAAGTTCATCCACGTGCTACTGAATGAGTGTGACTTGGTGGTGGGATTGCAGTTCACTTTTTAAAAATTCTGTATGCTCTTCTTTCCAATAGTAAGTGCTATTTTTTTTTAAGAAAAAGTTTAAATTGTAGCATGAGAAAAGATATTCAGTTCTCACCGTAAGTACAAGAGAAAGTATTTCAAATGAATGCTCCAAAATCTAATCTGGATTTAAATCCCAGCATTTTCTAGCTATGTAGTCTTGGGCCAATTCCTTAACCTCTCTGAGTCTTGTTTCCTCATCTTTAGAATGTCAATGCCAAAGCAAGTTTATGTGGCAAAGTTGTCGTAAGGGGGATGACAAGTGCTGTAGGCAAGTCATAGGTGCCACAGGAGGCAGCATAGGCTTCCTAGAGCAGGTGAGGTGTATATGGAGTTTAACAGGCAGTAATGGATGGGATTTCTGGAGGAGGGGGACTCTCAGAGGGAGATGCGGCAAGAATGAAGGTACGGAGGTGAAGGGGAAGTGGCTGTGCTCAGACAGTGGGTCCCTGAAGCCTGGCTGTGAGGTGGGCACTGTCCAGGGCAGAGCCTTCAGAAGTGTCTGAGCAACAGAGTGACCTCAAGCCTTGGAACAGTGAGGCCCATGCTGTGCCATGGTCTCCCTGGCACTTGGGCAGAGAGTGGGTTGATGGGTGGCAAGGTTGGGGGTGGAGATGATGTAAGAGTCAGGCCAGAGGGGAGGAGGGTCTGACGAGGAAGCAGCTTAGGGAGGGGACAAAGGGGCCATTAAGAGACAGTGAAGGAAGCACGGCTGGGGCTTTGCGGTCAAGAGCTCCCTTTTGACTGGGGAGTCAGGAGCAGCTGTCTGAGGGAGCAGAGCCCCTCTCTCCTCCCTCCCCTGAAGGCACTGTGGACCAAGATGGGACCAAAAACTTTCAAGGCAAAGCTCTGGGCCCCACCCTCCCAAGACAGTAGCCAGTTTTCTCCCTCCAGCTCTGGGGCGCTGTTTTCCATGGCCCAATAATAGTGCTTGGCCTGAACTCCCAGGGATCTCCAGCAACACCACCATCTACCCGGGGATCAGGTGGGTACTCCCTGCCTCCACATCTCTGTCCCTCACCCCTTCCCACCCACAGCCCTGTCTGACTCTGTCTCTCCCCATATGGTCTTTTTGACAGCCTCAATGCCCATGACATCAGCATTAAGATCTTTGAAGATTTTGCCCAATCTTGGTATTGGATTCTTGTGTGAGTCACCAGATTCCGCAACTTTCTCCTTCCCTACTCCCTTCCTGATCCTCCAGCCCAGTGTCTAAAACCCAACCTTTAGACAAGGGAGGAGGAGCCAGAGCTCAGAATGGACCTCAAGTCCAACCGGATTTATAATAGAAAGGAGGTTTAATTTGGAGGTGTGAGGAAAGACATTTGGAAACCAGGGGTAACCCTCATCTACCTCACCCTACCTACAGTGCCCTCGTCGTGGCTCTGGTCCTGAGCCTGCTGTTTATTTTGCTTCTGCGCCTGGTGGCCGGGCCTATGGTGCTGGTCCTGATCCTAGGGGTGCTGGGCGTGCTGGCATATGGCATCTACCACTGCTGGAAAGAGTACCAAGTACTGCGGGGAGAATCGAGTGCTACCATCACCCAGCTGGGCTTCACCACCAACCTCAGCGCCTACAGCAGCGTTAAGGAGACCTGGTTGGCAGCCCGTGAGTACCTTGCCCCCCTCCAAATGCCAGCTGCCTAAGGTCTGCCTGGGCCATGCCTGGCCCTGGCCCTGGCCCTGACCCCAGCCCCTCTGCCCTGTCCACCCTCAGTGATCGTGTTGGCTGTGCTGGAAGGCCTCCTGCTGCTCATGCTCATCTTCCTACGTCAGCGGATCTGTATCGCCATTGCCCTACTGAAGGAAGCCAGCAAGTCAGGGCCTATCTGAGAGAGATGGGGCAGAGGGCAGGGGTGTGGGCCGGGGTGGGCATGCTGGGCAGGTGGCAGGGAGCCCTGGAGAAGAAGGACAGAATAGTGCAGTGGATAACTCTGCTGTGTGACAGCCTTTCTGAGCCTCAGTTTACCTGTTATGGGGGGGGGGCAGCAGTAATTGCTCCTACCTTGTAGGATTGCTCTGAGGATGAAGTGAGTTAGTGTCTCATCAAGTGCCTTGAGCATGAAACAGACTCTCCAGAAGAGTTGTTGTCATGGTGATGGTGGGTGGGATGGCTCAGGAATCCAGGCAGGGAAGAAAAGCAGCAGCTTGCTCCCAACCAAGATCTACCTGCCAAGTCGGTCAACACACCATGTGTTGAGGACTCTCTCTTCCCTTACTCCCCCTGGAGCTGCCCCACCCTGAGCCTGATTCATTCATTTCCGTTCCCTCTGGGAGCACCTACAACGTGTGCAGTCTTGGGGCTGGAGCAGGCCCTGCGGGTCAGAGGTGTGACTAGGGCCAGCAGGGGCCTGCTGGTGGACGGCACTCATCTTCCTGCAGGGCCGTGGGACTGATGATGTCTGCCATGTTCTACCCGCTGATCACCTTTGTCCTCCTGTTCATTTGCATTGCCTACTGGGCCATGATCTCTCTGTATCCTTTGCCCACATAGCCAGCCCTCCTGGAGTCTGTGGAGGCAAGAGGGCAGAAAGGGCAATACCTGCACAGTGCCTTAGTGCAATGGGAGGAAGGCAGCCCTTCTTCTGGGCAGACACAGCCCCACCCCTAGACAGAGTTGGAAGAGGGAGCTCAGGCTGAATTCCAGCCCCTTTGTGCAAGTGAACATCCTGCATGAGCCCCTAGGAAGGTGTCCCTGAGGAATCAATCTGTAGAGACCCCCATGTGACCATGCTTTCCTTGACTTCCTTTTGGGTACCTGGCCACATCAGGACAACCTCAGTACGTCTTCTGGGCACCCAACACCAGCTTAGCCAGCTGTGAGACAGTGACAATGAATGCATCATGCGATCCCCTGGTGAGAGGATTGGGGGTGGACAAGAAGGAGGCACCAACAGAGCTAAGGGGACCTTAGGGACCAAATGCCTCATTGTGTAGTAGAGACTGAGGATCAGAGAAGGCAAGGGTCTCACTTGAGGTCATATAGCATGTCCCCAGCACAGCCCAAAAGGAAGCCAGTCCACTGACTCCAGATCTAGTTGTCCTGCCCCTGAGACACGGAAGGACACTGAGGCCAGAGTAAGAGGTATGCTGTGCCTGAGGCCAGGGCCAGGCCTCAGGAAGCTGAATACCAGAACTCTACCCTCCCCAGGACATTCTTCTGCCAGGACGACCATGAACAACCCCACCCAACTAGGTCTCACTCCACTCATCTGTAAAGTGGAGCTCATCATAATACCATTCTCTCAAAGTGGCCAAGATTAAATGACATTGGGCATATAAAGTGCTTAGTGCAATGCCCGGCACCTGATAAGAGCTGATAACTATGGGTTTTGTTTAGTTTTTGATTTTGTTTTTTAATCTTCCTGGGAACAAAGTGCCCTGGGCAATAAGCAAGTGGGACACCCTGTGGGGCCTGGGAGAGGAGCTGCCATAATCTCTCCTGAGAGGGTCCCAGGAAGTGTCTCTGGACCTCTGGGAATTTACTGTCCTTAGAGCTTTCATGTGGCCACCTGGTCTGAGCTGGACTGGGGCCTCTGCTGACAGCCATTAGCCCCACTCTGAAAAGGAGACGGAGGTTTGCTTGCATTTACCAAGGACCCACCTGTGCCAGGCACTGGATGTGTAAAGCCCCAAGTGACCTGGTTCTTGCTTTCAGCTTGCTCAGGATCTAGCAATGGAGACTGACACAAACGCACAGTTACATATAAATGGAAAGTGGTGTATTTTCTTATAAAATTTCAAACATATACTCAGTTTCAGCAATTACCAAGGTAGTCACATTTTCTGGAAAGGGTTGTTTTTTACTTCTGTGCTGTTTTACTTGTTATTTCAGAAATTTTTAAACCACACACTAAGTAGAGAATTCCTGTACCCAGATTCCACACCTTCGACTTTCCTGTTTCATCCATCTCACCATTCCTAGGCACAAATTTTTTTTTCTAGAGTATAAGGCAAATTCTAGACATCATGCCATTTCACTTGTAAGTACCTCAGGATAGATCTTAACAGATAATGACTTTTAAAAAGCATAACCACTATTGCCATTATCAAACCCAACTAAATGAACAATAATTCTTTAATATCATCTGATATCCAGTCTTCAATTTTGCTGGAAAGCATTTTGGTTGAAGTTGCAGAGGCTGCTCTGGGAGGGTACTGTTAACTGAGCACCACACTCTCCAGGGCCAGGCATTGGTCTCACAGCTCCCCACACACCATTAGGTCTTTGCCCACATGTCCTGGGAGCTCTTGTGCCCACCCAGAGAATGAAAGAAGTGAATTATGGTCACACAATAAATAAGCTAAACCCAGTTTGAACCTGGAGATGAATCTCCTAAAAGGAACCCACTTCCCCATCTAGGAGAGGCAGTTACTTCCTTCCCTCTACTCTGGGAATGACAGGAGCTGGCCGGGAATGAGCCTATTTTGTGTCCCCCAGGCTCAGCCCATGAACTCCTCATGCCCAGGGCTGATGTGCGTCTTCCAGGGCTACTTGTCCTCAGGCCTGGCACAACGTTTTCTCTTCAACTTGCAACTCTACGGGGTCCTGGGGCTATTCTGGACCCTCAATTGGGTCCTGGCCCTGGGCCAGTGTGTTCTGGCTGGGGCCTTTGCCTCCTTCTACTGGGCCTTCCGCAAGCCCAAGGATATTCCCACCTTCCCCGTGAGCACTGCCTTCATCCGCACACTGCGGTAAGCCTGGGGATGGGTGCTGGGATCATGAGCCTGGGAGTCCCAGGGGTTCTGGGGCTGCCTCTGACTGGCTAATCCCTCTGTAGTTACCACACAGGGTCTCTGGCCTTTGGGGCCCTCATCCTGACCCTTGTGCAGATAGCCCGGGTCATCTTGGAGTATGTTGATCACAAACTGAGAGGTAAGCCAAGGTCAGGGGCTTGGGGAGGCCAAGCTGACCAGCTGGATCCTCGGGGAGAGGCTTTCAGGACCAGTGTCCAAACCCAGGCCTCGGGTCTTCAGGAGCCCAGAACCCTATGGCCCGCTGCATCATGTGCTGCTTCAAGTGCTGCCTCTGGTGTCTGGAGAAGTTTATCAAGTTTCTGAACCGCAATGCATACATCATGGTGAGCCCCACTGCACAAGCAACCTCCCTGCTTCAGGGCTCCTTGGCCCCGATCCCACAGCCCTGGCCCAGGTGAATTATCCACAGGTAACTCTCACCTTTCCACTTTAACCCAGATTGCCATCTACGGGAAGAATTTCTGTGTCTCAGCCAAAAATGCCTTCATGCTGCTCATGCGGAACATCGTCAGGTCAGGCTGTCCCCCACCCTGTGATTTCCCACCCACAGCCAGCTTCATGGGCATGCTGTGCTCAGAAGGGCCTCGAGCTTTCAGGTTCTGCTGCCTCCATCTTGAAATGTGAACAATTTTCATTTTGCTTCTGTCACAGCCAATTATATAGCCCGTTCTCCTCCTAGCCCTGCCAGGCCTCTCACCCCCAGTCTATTCCAACTCCCCATGCAGGGTGGTTGTCCTGGACAAAGTCACAGACTTGCTGCTGCTCTTCGGGAAGCTGCTGGTGGTGGGTGGTGTCGGTAAGGACTAGGGCAGGAATTATAAGGACAAAGAGCAGGGGTGCTGGGAAGCTGAAGAGGTGACCTTAGAGGAGTGACACTGACCTCTCCCACAGGGATCCTGTCCTTCTTTTTTTTCACCGGTCGCATCCCTGGGCTGGGTAAAGACTTTGAGAGGCCCCACCTCAACTATTACTGGTTGCCTATCATGGTGAGTCACTCCCCCACTTTGCCTCACCCCCTAATTCCCCAAAGAAATCTTAACAGGGTTGTGTCTTCCAGACCTCCATCCTGGGGGCCTACGTCATCGCCAGCGGCTTCTTCAGCGTTTTTGGCATGTGTGTGGACACACTCTTCCTCTGTTTCTGTGAGTGACACCCCCACCACTTCCCCCCAACTTCAAGATAGAGGCTGTTCAGGCTTTTTTGAAGACTTGGTGTTTCTAGAAACAGCGACTTTGTGAGTTAAAGGAGCCAGAGCCACAGGGAGCCTCTCCTGACATGCACAGGCCAGGTGTTTGGGGACTGAAGGGGGAAGTGAGCTCCCAGGCAGGTGGGCTAGCGCGCTATTCCAAGAAGGAGCATTCCAGGGGAGAGGCCTCCAGTATCATCTCTCAGGAAACGTCAGGTAGAAGTGTAGATTTCCCAGCAGGTGGCTGTAGTGAACAGGATTTTCTTACCCCACTGTATACATCTATTTAGGCTTTAGTAGGTACCAGGCTCTGTGCTAAGCAGTAGGCATGCGGAGTTTGTTGTTTGTTTCGTTTTGTTTGTTTTTGTTTTCCCGCGGTAACCCTTACAAGCTATGAAACGTACTATTATTGGCCCCACTTTCCAATGAGTAAACTGAAATTACATAACCTACTGGTAGTGCAGCCTGGAAACCAGGCAGCTGGTCACTTAGTCCCGGATTTTCCGGGAATGCGGAGGAACAGGGTCCTTTCTAAGTGGTCTATGTTGCGGCTCAGTGGAAGATCTAGAGCGGAACGACGGCTCCCCGGACCGGCCCTACTACATGTCCAAGGCCCTTCTGAAGATTGTGGGCAAGAAGAACGACGCTCCCCCAGGAAGCAAAAGAAAGAAGTGAGAGGTGCAGCCCTGAGACAAGGCTACATCCTATCTACACAGCCTTCCAGCCTCATCCCGCCTTTCAGATCTTGATTTTGTAGTAAAAAGATTTTATTAAAGATTGGCATTTTACTCCCTGGACAGTGAGACCCTTTTCTCCCGACTGGGCACTTTAAAATAGGCCGAGCCCCTACGGCACGCCCCAGCTGCTGTGGCCAACCAAAAGGCTCCTGGGGAGTCGTACGGATTTTTCCTCCTCCCAACCAATACGCTTTTTCGGTCGAATCACGCGCTCCGGGACTTCAAAGGTGGCCAATGGGAGGGCTGACTTAGAGGCGCTGAAGGATCACGTGGAGAGTCGGAGTGTTCCGGCGGCCAATTAGAGTCGCGGAAGGGCTGCAGCGCGGCCGGGTGGGGGGCGGGCTTGGGGAAATGACACCTGATTGTTTAAAGGGCGCGGGTCAGCTACTGGCTCCAGCCCGGGTTTAGTCCTGGGGGCCAGGGTCGCGGTCGTCGCGGGGAAGAAATGACAGAGAAGCGACCCAGCACAGTGACCTTGGGCGGGCCTGGGGGGCCGCGGGGGCTGGGGTTTGGGGCAGTCTGTAGGATTCAGATATTTGCCGCGATCTTTCCGCTGCTGTTGTCTGCGGCAGTATTCGGGGCTAGGGCAGAGAACGACGTCCGTCTGGTGAGTCACCCCTCGCATCGCCCCATCCCGAATCACGCGGGCAGTCTATTCCCGGTGGGTCCTCCGCTACGCGGACTGCTGAGCCCCTCTCTTCCGCGGGACTCTTCGACCCCGTTCCCTCTATCCGCTCCCAGTCCCTCTTCGTCTTCAGGCCCTTGTCCTCCTCCTCGTTCGAGTTCCTTCCCCTTTCGAGGTCCTCTGTTCTTCCTGAGGGCACCTTCTTCCCTCGCAGCCCCCTTCCGCTCCGAGCTCCTAGCTTCCCTCCAAACCCTCCTCTCGGTTCCCCTTCCTTGTTCTGGGGCTCCTGCCCCCAGTCGAGATCCCCATCACCCCGACTCTCCCAGGGGAACCTGACTCAGATCCGCTATTCATCCCTCCTAAAACCCCAAATCAAGTGTGTTCCGTTGACCCTTCCCTCTCCCTTCGTAGGTTCAGCCGCTGGTGACCATGGAACAGCTCCTGTGGGTGAGCGGGAGGCAGATAGGCTCTGTGGACACTTTCCGCATCCCGCTCATCACAGCCACTCCTCGGGGCACTCTCCTTGCCTTTGCTGAGGCCAGAAAAATGTCCACATCGGATGAGGGGGCCAAATTCATCGCTCTGCGGAGGTCCATAGACCAGGGTATAAAAATACCTGGGTCGCAAGAGCCAGTGCTAAGTTGGGTGAGGTGGGCAAGGGGAACGAACCTGACGTGCCTGAGGGCCCTTGGGATGGGGCACCTTAGAAGGGGAACCTAAGGAAGGAAGGTGACCAGGGCAGTGATGTGGCAGTTGGGATCACCAAGGAGCTGAAAATTTATTCAAACACTTATTGAGCACTTACTATATACCTGGTACTGTTGTAGTGTAGGTTCTGTGAATACAGTTACGAACAAAACAGCAAAAATCCCTGCCCATGCAGGGTTTATGCTCTATTAGGGGGAAACAGACAATCAGCATAACAAATAAATTCATGTATTTTTTTGTGTTGGAAGGTGATAAATGCAATGGCAGAACAGAAAACAAGCCAAGAGGTATAGGAAGTGCCAGAGTTTGATAGCAATTTTCAGTAGGTGATGTTTGAGCTAAGACTCCAAGGAGTGACAGAGTTAGCCTGTAGGAAGCGTGTACCAGACAAGATGTGCAGAGGCCTTGGGAAGGGAAGTGTTTGAGGAGTAGGGAGGAGCTTGTGTGGCTGGATGGAGTGAGCGAGGGTAGAATAGTTAAGGTCAAAGGGGTAAGGAGAAGCAGGTGTTGCAGGCCCCTGGGCCATCGTAAGGCCTTGGGTCCCTAGCAAGAGGTGAAGATTATAGGGAGTGGTATAAAGGGCATCTCCAGTGTCCGCACCCTGGGTTTCTTCTCTTTTTTCTCTAGGCAGCACATGGTCTCCTACGGCATTCATTGTGGATGATGGGGAGACTCCAGATGGTTTGAATCTGGGGGCAGTGGTGAGCGATATTGAAACGGGAGTGGTATTCCTTTTCTACTCCCTATGTGCTCACAAGGCTGGCTGCCAGGTGGCCTCCACCATGTTGGTGTGGAGCAAAGATGATGGTGTTTCCTGGAGCCCGCCCCGGAACCTCTCCTTGGATATCGGCACTGAGATGTTTGCCCCTGGACCAGGCTCTGGCATTCAGGTCTTTGTCCTGAGATAGGTGGATGGGGCTGTATGGTGAAGAGTCTGGGCGATGCCCCAGCATGGACTTCTTCCCAAGAATAAGATCCTGTGAAGTCAGAGTTTCTGTCTTAGATGAGCTCCCTTGGAAGAAAGGACATCCTGAGAGGAATGGAAGGATGGAACTTCCCACTTGGTTATCAACAGGGCTGCAAATTAGAAAAAAAAAAACCAAACAAACCACCCCTTCCTTTGGGCAGACACAAGTTTGTGCCATGGTGCACAGTTTGGTGAGTGAGCACACCAAATGTAAGTGTAAACTCCCATTCACCACTGTGTCTGGGCCCTCTTGTCCTATGCACTACCTGTCCAGCATAGGTCCTAGATGTCCTGAAGGAGCTTATTTTGCAAAAGAGCTTCTTAATTCAGGCAATGGCTCTTTGTGAGATCTGTGTTGGACCCTCAGCAAGCAAGGACAGAACTGAAGGGGACCATATGTGTCCTTAGGAGGTGGCGGGTTCCCCTTGCCTGCCTCTGAGCCTCCTTCAGTGTCTCCCTCTGTGACACCCAGCTTCCTTTCCCACAGAAACAGCGGGAGCCACGGAAAGGTCGTCTCATTGTGTGTGGTCACGGGACGGTAGAGCGGGATGGGGTCTTCTGCCTCCTCAGTGATGACCATGGCACTTCCTGGCACTATGGCAGTGGGGTCAGCGGCATTCCCTATGGGCAGCCTAAGCGAGAAAATGATTTCAACCCTGATGAGTGCCAGGTGAGAGTCCATGGGCTGTTTCCTACCCACTCCGTCTGTCCTGTCCTTCTGAGCACCATTTCACTCACAGAGCCAGGGTCTGGCTCCCAGCTCTGTGCCACCAGCCTTGCTCCCTCAGGAACTGGGCCCTTTGTCCTACCCCTTCCCTGGGTCTTTCTGAACTCCTGTTCTCTCTCCTCAGCCCTATGAGCTCCCAGATGGGTCAGTTGTCATCAACGCCCGGAACCAGAATAACTACCACTGCCACTGCCGAATTGTCCTCCGCAGCTATGACGCCTGCGATACACTGAGGCCCCGTGATGTGACCTTCGACCCTGAGCTTGTGGACCCTGTGGTTGCCGCAGGAGCTGTAGCCATCAGCTCTGGCATTGTCTTCTTTTCCAACCCAGCCCATCCAGAGTTCCGTGAGTGTCTACCAAGGCGGGTGGGCAGGGACCCTGTTACCTGAGAAGACCCGGGCAGAGACCCTCCTTTCCTGACTCTGCTGTTGTTCCCAGGAGTGAACTTGACCCTGCGCTGGAGCTTCAGCAATGGTACCTCATGGAGGAAAGAGACAGTCCAGCTCTGGCCAGGGCCTAGTGGCTACTCATCGCTGGCAGCCCTGGAGGGCAGTGTGGGCGGGGAGGACCAGGCCCCCCAGCTCTTTGTCCTGTATGAGAAAGGCCGGAACCACTACACAGAGAGCATCTCCCTGGCCAAAGTCAGCGTGTATGGGACACTCTGAGCTGTACACCTGCCACAGGGGTAGAAGGCCCTGGACTCAGCCTTCAGGATGATGGGTCTCTACAGGCTCTGCTGGACATGACTAAAAGACAGTTCTACTTTCCTTTAGATCTAGCCTTTTGCAAAATCAACTTTCTTTGACAGGGATATCACTCCATTAGGACTAAAAGCCTGGCTTCTCCTCCCATACAGGAAGTCCTGCCCCCTACCTGGAAGTGTTTCCTTTTCACATTGTTGCATCTGGCCCCCTATACTTTCTGCCCTCCCCAGGACAATGATTGGTCCTTTCCTTGGGCAGGGCCAGGTGGACCTGTAGAATTGAATAAATGTGGACTCAGAATTGGGGAAGGCTGAGCTTCCTCTTTGAGGTAAGATACTGGCTTTGGAAAGGATTGGTGAAGGGTCTGGCGGGGTGTGGTGTTTACTGTCAGGGAAAGGAACTAGACTAGATGAACCCCCGACCTCAACAGTTTATGGATCAAAATCTTCATAACACAATGTCTTTAATGAAAGTGAATGAGCAGGTGTAGAGTCTGTGGTTCAGTCAATGCCCGTCTTCAAGTCTGTGTTCCTTATGTACTCAGTGGGGCTGGGAATGAGCTCTAGGAAAGATGCTGTTGTGCTGTGGCCTGTGAACATCTGACTTTGGTAAATCAAACCCTCCTTTCCCTTTCACATACTTTCTCATCACTGAAAAACAGGTTGACCTTCACAGGTGTAATGCACAGTCAGAGGGGAACCCCATAAGGTATTCAAAACCTGCTCTGTTTTGTATTTCTAACAAGAGTGGGTGCTGTCCTCCACAAGGCATGGAGCAATTGTGTACAGTACAGATGCCAAGCCTCTCCCAGGCTAGCCTGGCAGAGAATAACACTGGGACAAATTATGGGAGAAAAAAGCATCTTCATTCTATAGCAGATGCTGGGAAAAGAACCTCAGCAACTACAGGTGAGTGGGAGAGCCACAGCATTCCTCCCGATGGAGGGAGAGTACAACGCCTGGACAACATGGTAAGAATGTCTCTCATGTAAAGGGATGAGGGCCACATTCATTTGCAGTTAGAAGTTTGTTTCACTTGCAGCTGCTTCTCTAGCAAATGTTAGGGTGATTTATCCTGTCTGATGGAAGAAGTGGAATAATACCACTGTGTGAAGACATGGTATAATTTTGTTATATTTTATCCAGAATTTATGACCAATAATGTAAAACTTCAAGTTTTTAATTTATAGACATTTTCAAAAACTCTCAAAAGTAAATAGCTTAGGAAGCCCCATGTACCAAATATCCATCTAGTTTCAATGGTTATCAAGATATTGCCACATTTCTATTTCTGATCCTTTTTTGTTCCTTTCCCTTACTGAAGTATTTTATTTTATTTTATTTTATTTTGATTTTATTTATTAGTCCTGGCCAATAAATAAAATCTTAAAAATTTTATTAAGTGTCTCGGTTGGTTGGAGCATTGTCCCATACACTAAAAACATTGCAGGTTCAATTCCCTGTCAGGACACATACCTAATCTATGGGTTCGATTCCAGGTTGGGCACATACAGGAGGCAACCAATTGATGTTTCTCTGTCTCCCTCTCTGTCTTAAATCAATAAACATATCCTCAGCTGAAGATTCTAAATAAATAAACTTTTTTTAAGGTGTTATTTATTAATTTTTAGAGAGAGGGGGAGGGAGAGGGGAAGAAGCTTCAATGTGTGAGAGAAACATTGATTGGCTGCCTTTTGCAGCCCCCAACCGGGGACCTGTCCCACAACCCAGGCACGCGCCCTGGAGGGGGATTGAACCAGCAAACTTTTGGTTCGTAGGCTGGCGCCCAACCCACTGAGCCATACCAGCCAGGGCCTGAAATATTTTAAAGCAAATCCCAGACCTCGTGACATTCACTCCTTCATTCTTCAGTATGCATCTCATTCTTTAAAACATAACATTTATTATATAACCATACTACCATTGTACACCAAAACATGAATGATAATACTTCGGTGTCATCCAATAACCAATCATGTTCAAATTTCATCATGTCTCAAAAATATCTTATTTGTTGTTGATTTGTTCAAATCAGGATCCGAAGAAAACCTATACATTACATTTTGATGTCTCCTAAGTTTAACCTATAGTCGTCCCACTTCCTCTTTTTCTTTTTTTTTATTACCATCTACACAAAAATAGGGCCATTTCTCCTGTAACAGTTCCATTATCTGGATTCATCAGTTGCCTCCTCAGAATGTCACTTAACTTCTTCCTCCATCTCTTGTATTTCCAGTTACCAAACCTGAAGATTTTATTGGATTCAGATTCCATTTTGTGGGGAGGGAAGGACAAGATTCCTTCACAGGTGCTAGGTGCTTCCTATTCTGCCCCCCTCAAGAGGCAAGTACTGTGGGCTCCACCCTCTCTGAGCAAAACTGAGTTTGGTGGGTTACCTTGGGTTCAGATGGCCATAACCTGATCCTTCTTTTTAAGGATCCCCCATTACCCTTCCAGCTGACAGTTTCATCCACAGATGAGTTTTGCCTGAATCAATTATTTCATAATGGGTTGTAAAATGTTGATTTTTAAGTTCTATTATTTCACCCTCATTTTTTAGCTGGTATTCTTCAGTGAAAAACAAAAACAAAAAAACCAGCTTTCCCTCATCATATTGGGTTACCTTGATGCATGGTCTGGATGGGAAGAGCCAGATAAATGCTGAATGTCCCCCCGTTAATTGCCTGCTCTTAAAGTGAGCATATAATACTTTGCCCTGGCCAGTAAACCACATTGTTACGACACAGGAGACACATTGGAGGCAACCTGCAGAAGGAAGCAGGGGGCATGTAAGAAAAGAACAGGAGAAACAGGCACCATGTGCTTGCGGAGTCTGCTGCTTTATCTCAGCTCATGAAATAGATATGATGCAAGGAAGAGTGGTGGGGTGGCATTTGCAGCAACTGCGAATCTGCTAACACCACTCCAAACTGCACATCTGACAGTCTTTCTGATGGTATTATTGTTAGGGTGGTCAACAATGTGGGCTGTGAAAAAAATTCACAAAGAAAAGAAATTGCAGAGTGCAAAGTTTCTGTTCACTTTCCAAGAGTGGAAAGGGGCATGATGCAGAGAGAGAACACCAGCACTGAGGGTGGGGGCCTTGAGCTTTTATTGGATTATAATTGGGTTATAAAAGGGGGGAGGGTTGCTGTTGGGTAGCCCCTGGGCTACTCGGGGCGTTGCAACATGCGTTTCAGGTGGTTTTTGCACAGGCTGCAGTTTGTTCCAGTGTTATCTTCTGCCTGTGGCTGTGGGGACTGGTTAGTCAAGGCCTGTTCTTGCCTTCTGGTAATTTCCAGTCCTGGGGACAGAAGAGCTCAGAAGAGTAAAATGGCATTCATGTTTAACAAGGTCATAGGCCTGCTCAGCAAATGGTGCTGACTTTATCCTTTCATTACGCCCTTGGGTTTTAAAATGGATTTATTCTTTTTTTTTTTTTTTTCATTGTTGTCCAAGTAGAGTTGTCTCCATTTTCCCACCACTATTTTCCCTACCAACCCTCAATCCTTCCCCTCTTTGGCTTTGTACAGGGGTCCTTCATACATGGTTCCTTGATGACCCTTCCCCTTCTTTCCTCCATTATTGGTCTTGCCCCTCCACTCTGGTTACTGTCAGTTTGTTCTTTATTTCATTGTCTCCTGTTATACATTGCTTCTTGTTTCTTTTGTTGATCAGGTTCCACTTATAGGTCAGATCATACGGTATTTGTCTTTCACTGCCTGGCTTACTTCGCTTAGCATAATGCTCTCTCCAGTTCCATCCATGATGTCGCGAAGGGTAAGAGCTCCTTCTTTCTTTCTGCTGCATAGTATTCCATTGTGTAAATGTACCATAGTTTTTTGATCCACTCATTTACTGTTGGGCACTTAGGTTGCTTCTGGCACTTGGCTATTGTAAATTGTGCTGCTATAAACATTGGGGTGCATAAGTTCTTTTGAATTGCTGTCTCAGGACCCTTAGGGTATAAATCCCAGCAGTGGACTCGCTGAGTCAAAAGGCAGTTCCAGTTCTAGTTTTGAGGAAATTCCAAACTGTTTTCCACGGTGGCTGTACCAATCTGCATTCCCACCAACAATGTATTAGGGTTTCCCTTTCTTTACAACCTCACCAGCACGTGTTGTTTGTTGATCTGTTTATGATGGACACTCTGACTGCTGTGAAGTGGTACCTCATTGTGGTTTTAATTTGCATCTCTCTGATGGCTAGTGATGCTGAGCATCCTTTCATATGTCTCTGGTCCCTCTGTATGTCCTCCCAGGAAAGTGTCTGTTCAGGTCCTTTGCCCATTTTTAAATTGGATTGTTTGTCTTCCTGGAGTGGAGTTTTGTGAGTTCTTTATATATTTCGGAGATCAAACCCTTATCTGAGGTATCATTGGCAAATGTATTTTCCTATATGATTGGTTCCCTTTTCATTTTGCTGACGTTTTCTTTAGCCGTGGAGAAGCTTTTTAATTTGATGAGGTCCCATTTGTTTATTCTTTCCTTTATGTCCCTTGCTCTAGGGGCCATATCAGTGAAAATGTTGCTGCGTGGGGAACCATCCTGCCTGGTTTCAGGGACTGTAGCCTCGCCAGCAGACGAGAGGGGCCCAAGGCTGGAATTAATTAAGGAGGCCTTGGGAAAACAGGCCACCGAGGAGGCAAAACCTGTCCCCCTGGCAAGGGAACAGCCCCTGCCTCCGTTACATCACTCTGCTTGGCCTTGTGATGCTTGGTAGTCAATGATGGCTAAGATTCCTCAAGAGGAGGGATGACCTAAGACAGACACGGCCGGTATGGGCAGCGGACAAGGACTTGGGGGACAAGGAGAAAAGGCAAAAAGACCCGCATCCTTCGGCTCAGCTTGGATTTGGCCGGGGTCCTCATTCTACCTGAAAGAAGTCTCATTATCTCTTGGCAGCTCTGCCCTGCCTGCCTGACTCGGGCTTGAAACAATACTAAAGGCAGGTACTGCCCTAAACTGGATCAAGCAATTCCCAGAGGGAAATCAGGCCTAGAAGTAAGTTTCGTGAAGCATGCTTTGCTTTTCCCTCAAAAGCTATGATAACTGGCTCATACTGGGAAGGGGATTTACATTATTCATAGGCCCTGACCTGAGGCAGATCTCCTGTGTTCCTTCCATTGTTATCTACGATCTCTATTTGTTTTCTGTAAACATAGCCTTTGACATTAATTGATGAGTTTTGCATCCATACCTCTGTGCATATGGTTCTCAATAAAAGCCTTTGGACATGGGGGCTTGGGGCCTTCTCCACTAGAGGGAAGACCCATGTCCCCTCTCCTGGCAAACAGAGAAGTGTTTGCGACAACTCGTGTTTATTCCTCCCATCGGTGACAACCCCAGGATGGGCTCTGCAGGATTTAAAGCCCCACTCCCTTGCCAGCTCGCTCCGGACAGTAACCCTCAGATCCAGGAGCGCCCCATGCAGCACTCCCCGCAACAATTGTTGCTGAAACACCTAACATTTTCCGGCCTACATTCTCCTCTAGCACTTTTATGGTGCCGCAACTAATATTTAAGTCTTTTATCCATCTGGAGTTTATTTTTGAGTATGATGTAAGTTAGTGATTGAATTTTTTTTTTTTTTTGTATATAGATGTCCAGACCATCCAACACAATGTGTTGAAGAGGCTATTTTAACTCCATTTTATGCTTCTGCCCCCTTTGTCGAATATTAATTGACCATAGAGACATGGGTTTATTTCTCGACTCTCTATTCTGTTCCATTGATCTGTCTGTCTGTTCTTATGGCAGTAGCAGGCTATTTTGATTACAGTGGCCTTATAATATAGTTTGATGTCAGGTATTGTGGTCCCTCCTACTTTGTTCTTCTTTCTCAAAATTGCTGCAGTTATTTGGGGTCATTTATGGTTCCATATAAATTTTTGAAATGTTTGTTCTATATATGTGAAATATATCACTGATATTTTAATATGGATTGCATTGAATCCATAAACTGCTTTGGGTAGTATGGACATTTTAATGATGTTAATTCTTTCAATCCACGAACACAGTATATGCTTCCATTTATTTGTGTCTTCCTTAATTTCTTTCTTCAGTGTTGTATAGTTTTCTGAGTACAGGTCTTTTACCTCCTTGGTTAGGTTTATTCCGAGGTACTTTATATTTCTTGTTGCTATAGCAAACGGGATTTTTTTTTCTGGATTTCTCCTTCTGACATTTCATTGTTGGTGTACAAAAATGCCTTTGATTTCTGAAAATTGACTTTGTACCCCACTTCTTTACCAAATTCACATATTAGGTTGAGT